CTGGTGGACAGCCAATGGCAGAGTGGCTTGGTGGCCTTTGATGGAGGGGCCACCATTAGCCCCGTCACTGAACAACAGCGCTGGGGGCAAGATGGCCGACATCCAACACTGCAGAGATGGAGAGGAAGAGGGTGAGGGTAGACATGGAGGCAGAGACAGAGGGAGACAGTCGAGAGGGTAGGTTGGATTGTGGATGGTACTGTAAAGAAAAATTAATGAAAATGTAAAAAAAAAAATAAACTGTATATGACTAATATATTTAAGTAGTAGAATATGAAATCAAGGATGTTTTTTGCCACACTAAGGGCATGGTTCTTGGGATGGCTGTGGTGGTCCGTAGGTTGGTCCTATCCCAGCTGACATTGCGTGAGAGGCAGGGTACACCCTGGACAGGTCGCCAGACTATCACAGGGCTGACACATAGAGACAGACAACCATTCACACTCACATTCACACCTACGGACAATTTAGTTATCAATTAACCTGCATGTCTTTGGACTGTGGGAGGAAGCTGGAGTACCCGGATAAAACTCACACTGACACAGGGAGAACATGCAGACTCTGCACAGAAGGGCTTCCCCACCTTAAGGTTTAAACCTTCCACCCTGGGTTTGAACCAGGAACTCTCTTGTGAGGCGACAATGCTAACCACTGCACCGGGCCGTGATTTTGTTTTCCTAACTTGTAAATTGTTTGTTGTTAGGTCAAGGGAATTTTATTAAAGCTAAGCCTTCTGGCTGTACCTGCTACTAACAGGCCAGAACACACACTTAATGCCTGCAGCTTCCAACAATGAGGAAGAGTTGAACCCCAGGGAGCTCAACTCCTTCTCTGCAGCTCTGCTCATCTAATAGCTCATGCTCGTGTGTTGCTCGACCGGCCCACTCCAGGGGCCAGATGCATAAAACTCTGTGTAGATTCATGATTAAAGCTGTGTGCAAGCACAAAGGCAGAAATATACATAGATTCTTTTCATCAGATTTGTGAAGCTGTGCCTATGCCTGATTCTGTTTTAGAAATCTCAGATCATTGTGGTGCTGGGTGCATGTGCACAAGCCTCATTTCCACACCCACAAACTAGCTGAGACCCTGCTTCCTCACATGAGGACATCACATTTTGGGTTTACTTGACCTTTTACCTTATTTTGCTTAACTTAGACCTGTTGTCCTTGATTGTGGACACTTATTTGTGCCATCTAGCAGTAGTAAGAACACAATACACTAATCCATGTAAAAACAAGATGGCAGCCATCTCTGCCAAGTCAGTCTGCAGCCGATCCCGACACAGAAGTGGACAAGGTCCAAAACCTGATCACATTTTATGGATGAAACTTGTTTCTTGTGGATGCTTCAAATTAAAAAGAAACTTGGTATTCAGGGGTAGGATTTAAGTAAAAAAAGACCACTCCTTGGGGCAGGGGAGATGCGGTGAGCTCACTTGCAGGCATGCATCACAGACCCCTTCTACACTGCCTCTTCAAGGAGGAAATTTCACGCTGTTATGCTGCCTCGCCGTTCTGTATAAAAGGTACAATTGCGGAGGGCGGGGGGAGTTGCCTTTAAGCTGGCATCGGAAGTGGTAACAGCGCCAAAACGATGTCTGTATTAATTGGGCAGACAGCAGGATGGGATCATGGGCGGCACGGATGTGACGTTTTGACAATGTGTTATGTGTGTGACCCGCCACAAGAGATTTAAAAAGTAGCTTGTAGCAGTTAGCCGGTAATTCAAACAAGAACGGCAGCCAAAATGTCAACAAATTTGAAAAATAATGAGGTGAGCTAGCTCCTTAGGGTCTTAGCAGAGTATGAGATCAGCCACCGTATAATGGAGATGCTGGCATGCTATCTAAAGTCACGCACTGGAGCGGGATGATGATGCAGTTGTTTGGTTCTGTGTAAAAATGCAAAGGCGGCATAAAGAAGGGACTTCATAGCGGCCTTATAGCATGACCTCTGTATAAAAACGGCTACAAGCACACACTGGCGGGGGGGGGGGCAAAAGTTTGGCACTACATTTACAAGATTTGTTGATGGGACCACCGATGGAGATGGAATAGTTGTGTGAAACATCATTAATGGAGGGACAGACAGAAGACACAGACTATGTTGCAGTGAACTTGGCCACTTTGGCTCTAAACTACTTAAAATCTGTAAAGGTACAAATTCTCCATTGTTTTTCTCCCTAAGGCCGTTCACTTTAATGTGATAGAGATGTCCGTTAGTTTTACTCAGGGCTGCTGTGAAAGATTTTAAATGTAAAATGCATTGTGTTTTTGATAGAGAAGATATTAAAGGGAACAAGCTCTGCACTGAACAGAGGCTGATACACACACATTTTGTTCAACAGGGTTATCTCCACAACACACTGTTTTATCATATTTGAACAACTCAAGCATTTAATATTGTTGAGGAAATTTCCAGTGAAGCAAATTCTCTGAGGCATTCAGCGTGCGTCGGAGAGCGGGCGACGTCTGCTTGTCTGCTCTGATTTGAATGAAGACCAGATGAATACTTATAGCCATTATATCTGAACAGACTGTGTCACAGATAGATTGTGACACTCTATGATGTAAGGTAACGTTTAATCTAAAGAGAACAAGATATGCAGATCACTGTGTCAGGGAGATGCCAGCATCTTGTGGCTCCAGCCTGTCAGCACATTCAGTGGGAATCTGTTTGCTCCCGCAGTATAAATAGAAAACAACACAGAGAGATATTAACAGGTGTCACATACAGTACGTTGTCTGACAAAATGTTAAACACGTTAAAGCTCATATAGGCAACAGACCGTATCTCCTGAGGAGTTCCTATGGGGAAGAGCAGTATGTAAATGTGGCAAGGGACCACTGTGGCATTACAGTGGCCACATCTGATCATTTAATAATGTTATTTTGTTGTTTTCGTCATCTCAGGTTGTCATTGGAGCTTCTGATAGATAGGCTTAACATCTGTCTTTCTCCTATGGGAGCTCAATATGCATGTCATCACACGCACTGAACACTTTTACAGCAAATTACAATTTAGAAAGGCAATATTACTCTAATTTAAAGCACTAATCAACATTTTCAGATGATACTGTGTAGTATAAAAGGGGTTTTAGCCCACAGAGAATTATCACTTGACAGTTCCCCCTCATCACTATGAAGCATTTTAGCTTCTTTTAGCTCGTTGTTTTGGTTTTACAGCTTGCAACTTTAAAAATTTTTCTGCTCTATCCACTCTTTGCAACTTATTTCCAGTTGCAGCAGTCAGCTGAAACACTAAAAACTATATACTCCCTGCCTTGCAGCAAACAGCAGCAAAAGCTAGCAACTAGCTGGTGAGCATAGTTGAGCAATTAGCAGCTAACGAGCCAGATATTTCACTCAGGAGTCGGTGGAGACCAAAACAGAGCTAAAAGGGGAGTTAATGATGGAATTGTGTTGGATGGACTCAAGCACAACTCTAAATAGATGCTAATGTTAACCTTTATGTGGTGTGAAAATAGGCTACATTCACATCAGTGCCTTTTCGTTTTAGAATGCACAACTTCTGGTATACTGACGTGACGTGATAGCTTCCACATTGATCCAGTGTTTTCAATGACACAGACACTCATGTCCGCTTCCTGATTGGGTCAGGAACTGGACGTGTCAAGCCAAAACATTTTAGCCAGGTCTACATTCCTTTTTTGATTTCATCCATCTTGTATGGGTAACGTTACTCCTTGCCCATTGCCACGGCTTCCTCCAGTGATGGGTAATACTCCTGGAACTGTTCTAATATGTCGCTGTATTTGCTTTGCAGCATCTCCCAATCTATGTTTTCTACTACCTCTACGGTTGTATACTCATGTTTCACTGTAACAATTCCATCTCATCAACAGTTGAAGCAAAGAAGTCTCTGGTCTTACTTTTAGCCATCGCTGTTCTTCCTCTGTTGCATGTTCGAAAACTAGGCAAGCACATGCCCAGTGTACGTGAATTGTCATGTGATATGCATTTTCAGGCCTGTTTGCATGGATGGAGGTTATTTCTGAAATGGTGCTGAAATGCGTAAAGTGTACGGCGATTGTTTTCATTTTAAAACACTGTCGGGCGTAACCTTGGTAGCCAAAATAACTAAGTAATAGTGCTTCAAGGAAATTCATTGGAAAACCAGAAAAAATGTACATGACAATAAGATATGAATACTTCCCCATGGCAAAGATATTGCCTTCAAAAAGGTTCAGAATACCCTGACAAAAGAAGAATCAGCTCCTCCACTGATGTAGCATTTGATGTGTACCACTGATCTGAGCAATCTCTAAACAATGGTCAAAGTTTGACCAACTTAAGTGACAAGAAAGAACAGGACTCTGATGTCCCAATGAACTAAGCCAGTGTCGCTGCCTGCAGGCTGAAAAGCAAAGCTGTTTAAGCCTTAAAGAAGAACACACACACAGTATACTACTCACCCCGGCCCATACACAGAAGGCCAAAGATTGAGAAAGACAAGGATTTAGAAGGATAGATAAAGAAAAGAATGATGCTCTCCAGTAAAGAGAGGAAACAAAGGCTGAGTGGTAGAGAGGGTATGAGATAAAGACAAACAGAAGCCCGTCATGGAGTGGTCCATGGGTGCCAGAGCCGCTCAGGATTGTAGCCTTTGAAAGGCATAGAAGTGATGGCAGCTGTTTGGCCTCCTAATCAAGGTACACTAGGCTTGGGCCTCTTCCAAACACTCTGATGTAAAGCTGATGAAAATTTTGACAGTGCCACATAGATGACAAAGACGAGGAAAATACACCCACCTACACGAGCCCATACACCTACACACCGCAGGCCTCCCTAATGAAAGCCCAAATCTGCTGTGATCTTTGAATTCATTTGGCTTTATGAATTCAAGATGCAGGATGATGACATAATTGTGAAAACCTTTTACATGCAAATGACATTTTGTCTGTGGCGATTGTGGTACTTATGCTTATTTATGGGGTGTCTTGTTTTTCCCTTTGTGTGTGTGTGTGTGTTTACGCAGGTATGAAGCAGCACAATGACCATGGTACTCAGTATCGTTCGGCCATTTACACATCCAACCCCACTCAACAGGAGCTTGCATTGAAGAGCAAAGTGGCCTTCCAGCAGGTATAATACTCCCACATACATCAGAAGGTTTCATTATGACACTTACTCAAGCATGGTGTTGCATATAAGTGAACCATGTGTGAAGTAAGGTAGAACATCTGTCGGAAAAGTGTGAATAATGGTTAACATTTTTTGCGATTTGCTGTTCAATGTTGAGGCGTAACATGAGATGCTTTGCCAGAACTTCACACACATCAGTCCTTGTTGTGCAGTAACTTTCAAATAGTAGATGTTTGTGTTTTGTATTATGTCTGTAACAAAATGAAAAAGAGCAAAACAGTTTTTCATCATTTCAAATAAGTATTTTGGCGGTTAGCAGGCCTAAGCTGGAGTTTGGGGTTGTCCCAGTTATTTGAATAAGAATTAAAAGCCAGTCTCTGGAGTGGTGACCTCTTAAGAGTTTGATGCTGTTTAGCCAAGCAAAGCCACCTCTGTTGACTTGATCCCCATCTACATCCAATCGAGGACATCCTTTTTCCTCGAACTGAAAGAGAAGAAGAGGGTCGATAGGTCATCAAAACTCATTTCTAAAGCTCGTTCATTCAATGGCACACGCGTCCTTCTTTTGTTCATCCTTCCATCTGTCCGTGCATCCGTCCGTCTATCCGTTGATCCCTGCATCACTTCGGTTTGTTTGTCTCTCTAAATGGTATTCATGGACAAGCTGGCAGGGGGCAGAGGGGAGCGAATTATGATCGTCATGGTAACTCAGAGGTCCCGGGGTCAGCAGTCACGGGCCAGGGGACCGTTCATGTTGCCGTGGCGACAACCTCCCAACCTTGGCCTTGGGCTGGGGTCAGAGGTGAAAGAGGAGTGGCAGCTGAGACCTGGAAGGTAGTGAATCGGAAAGGGGGGAGGGAAAGCAGAGAAGAAAAGGAGGGAGGCAATCAGATCAGAGGGCCATGACTGACTGAATGACAGGCTATCAACTGACGGTGACCTCCCACACAGATGCACACACCCACACACACCCACACACACACACACACACACACACACACACACACACAATAATTGGAAGTGTAGGGCCAAGATACGTCAATCACAGATACAATACATTTTAAGTCATAAAGTTCATTCTTGACCTTGGAAAGAGCGGCTGATAGAATAATCTCACAGAAAGTCCATTTTGTAGCTGTTCTGGAGCTTTCAGTCATATTGCATGGTCTTTATCAGCAGGAAGGCATTTACCACATTTCCACTGAATTATAGTTGTTCAGATTTCCATTTTTTTCTGAGCACTGTTAAAACTTATCATTGGTTTTGTCTTGAAAGTTGAGTTTTTAAAGTTCTTTATTGACCATGGAAACAGCAGTTGATAAACTAATCTCACCTCTTATTAGGTGTTATTTAATACTGTCTTAGTAACGTGCCAATTTCAGTAAATTCCGTGAAAGAAATGGAAATTTGGACATCTACAATTCTGTAACAACTAAGCAAACTCCATCTGCTGATGAAGATTGTGTGACTAAAAGCTCCAGAGCAGCAACTAAATGGACTTTGAGGTGAGAGTGTTTTGTCAAACAGTGAAGAAAAAGGTATACTGTGCTGGTTTAAAAAACAAATGTGAAGATTCATACATTCATCTCATGCGTACTCATATGTTGGGCACATTTGTGTCATGCACACAAGCATGTGCCAAACCCTCATGGGTTTACAAGACATTACAGTATTGTTGCAGTGATCAATCTGAAGTACATGTTATTCTCCTGCTCACTACCCAAACAAAATACTTGACCTTGTATCCCAGGCCTGCCAAACAAAGTCTGCCAAAAAAGGGTCCTCTAACCAAAAGACATCAACATAAATGGAGGTAATTTTACTTAAAAGTATGTCCCTTATGTCTTCGTATAAAGGACAGTAAAACAAAGAATGAACCTCATTCTCAATTTCACCTGTTACACAACAAAGTCTGTCGTCCTCTGGAGTGGCATTAAACCTACCAGCCTCTCACGCTAATGGTAATGTTCCTGAGCTAGAAGTGTGTGGCGGTGCAGAGACTCTGCCCTCGATCTGTGTTTTCTTAGTTTCTTCTTAGGGGTTCTCTACAATGATGTTGTAGGGAATACAGTAGCATGCAGGTGAGGTCAGAAAAAGCTAGCAACCAGGTTTAGCGGCATGCATCCAAGAGAGAGCTATGAAAATTTTAAATCTGGGGTTGGCTTTCACTTGCACTCGTGGTATTGTTTACATATAACTACCAGTTCCTGTTGTATAAATAGTAGTGAATCTTTAAAAATATTTTTGGCAAAATAAAGTTCACAATGCAGTGCACAAATACACTCACTGGCCACTTTATTAGGCACACATGTTCAACTGCTTTGTTAACGCAAATGGCAAATGGACCTGCACTTGTATAGCACCTTTCTAGTCATTTGACCACTCAAAACGCTTTTTACACTATGGGTCACATTCACACACATGTTCGTACACTAGTGGCCGAGGCTACCATACAAGGTGTCACCTGCTACTCAGTTTTTCAACACACTTACACACCGATGGAACAGCCATTGGGAGTATTTCGGGATTCAAGGATACTTCGATATGCAGACTGGGGGAGCTGGGGATTGGACTGCTGATCTTCTGAGTAGAGGACAACCCGTTCTACCTCTGAGGTGCAGCTAATAGCTAATGGGCCAATCACGTGGCAGCAACTCAATGCATTTAGGGCTTGTAGACATGGTCAAGACGACCTGCTGAAGTTCAAACTGAGCAGCAGAATGGAGAATAAAGGTGATTTAAGTGACTTTGAACGTGGCTGGTCTAAGTATTTCAGAAACTGCTTATCTACTGGGATTTTCACGCACAACCATCTCTAGTGTTTACAGAGGAGGGCCCGAGGAGAATGGCCAGACTGGTTCAAGATGATAGAAAGGCAACAGTGACTCAAATAACCACTCGTTACAACCAAGGTCTGCAGAAGACCATCTCTGAACCAACAACACGTCCAACCTTGAAGCAGATGGGCTACAGCAGCAGAAGACCACACCAGGTGCCACTCCTGTCAGCTAACAACAGGAAACTGAGGCTACAGTTCACACAGGCTCACCAAAACTGGACAATAGAAGATTGGAAAAACGTTGCCTGGTCTGATGAGTCTCGATTTCTGCTGCCACATTCAGATGGTAGGGTCAGAATTTGGTGTAAACAACATGAAAGCATGGATCCATCCTGCCTTGTATCAACGGTTCAGGCTGGTGGTGGTGGTGGTGTAATGGTGTGGGGGAGATTTTCTTGGCACACTTTGGGCCCCTTAGTACCAACTGAGCATGGTTTAAACACCACAGCCTACCTGAGTATTGTTGCTGACCATGTCCATCCCTTTATGACCACAGTGTACCCATCTTCTGATGGCTACTTCCAGCAGGATAACGCACCATTTCACAAAGCTCAAATCATCTCACACTGGTTTCTTGAACATGACAATGAGTTCACTGTACTCCAATGGCCTCCACAGTCACCAGATCTTAATTCAATAGAGCACCTTTGGGATGTGGTGGAACGGGATATTCTCATCATGGATGTGCAGCTGACAAATCTGCAGCAACTATGTGATGCTGTCATGTCAGTATGGACAAAAATCTCTGAGGAATGTTTCCAGCACCTTGTTGAATCTATGTCATGAAGAATTAAGGCAGTTCTGAAGGCAAAAGGGGTCCAACCTGGTACTAGCAAGGTGTACCTAATAAAGTGGCCTGTGAGTGTGTAAGCAAAAACAACAAATAAAGTCCACTTTTTTAGTGCAAGTGAAATTCCAACTGATGACATTTTTTTATTTAGTAATGTTTTCTGAAAATAACAATATACCTCATGTCTAGCTGAGACATGCAATGACTGCGTTATAAGCCTGTGAGTAACAGTGTGAAAACCAAGCAGAAACGGCCAATGGTTCAGTGGGTTCATGTTACGGCACAAAAAAGGTCGTTATATCAAACATTTTCATCTTGTCACCTCCGTGCCAGAGAGAGGCTGAGAGCCTCAACCCAGTTTACAGCCGACACTCAAAAAAACACACCCATTTACAAACATCCTGAGGAGAAACAGCACTCAGACTCTTCCCTCCTTCTCCCCTTCTCTCTCCCCACCGACGCTGCTGACACCACCGATCTGTCAACCACTTCAGTGGCACCCCAGTTTCATCTGAGGGCCACTGGGACACATATCTTCTCAAAGTAGCTGACACGCTCTGAACCAAAATGGCAGCTTCCTGCCCTGAAATGGTTGCCTTGCTGCATTGATGCTGAGTCTCAAGAACGCCCTGGCTTGAAAATGGCATCTCTACAGAGGAAGGGCTTGTTGTGTGTGTCCGTCTGCGTGCGTGAGGTTGTGTGTGTGTGTATGCGTGTGTGTGTGTTTTATCCTAAAAGGCCAACGTTCTCTTATCTGGAGAAGTGAGTGCATGTTCGGTAGAGTGACAAGAGCGAGTGGGTGGAGGCGATCCAAGACGATCGGAGATAAGACAGGCATCACAAAATCCAGATTCCACCCCACTGCCAGCCCGTGACTCACACACACACACTCACATGTACGTACAGACACACACAGAGACATACATTTGGCACATACACGCACAGCCCAATGAATAATTAACCCATACGAAGAGTCTCTTCTGCAGGGCTTTCAGTTTCTTAACTTCAGCATTGGGGGGGGGGGGGGGGGGGGGGG